TCAAGCATTAAATAAGTATTATTCCACCTAACTGGCATGTCTAATGCAAAAGTTTTAGGAGACAAATTTGAAGTTTTACAAGCATCTTGAAATTCAAAATTTCTTCTATTAGTACTAGTAATCCAAGCTAAGCAATCTTTAATTCTATCAATATTATTTCTAATTCTTTTCATACCAATTTTTACAATTAAATTAATAATGTGACATGCACAGCATTGGTGAAAAAACTTCAAATTGTCATAAAAAATAAATGAATGAATAACTTTTTAAATCCTGGAAAAAATGAATGTTTAATAAATCTTTCAAAATATTTATCTTCAGCCATGTTAATAGGTTGATCAATTGCAGCAATATATAAAGCTAATTGTTCCCTATATACATCAGAATTATAATGACAAGTAGTACCCATATTAGTTATTTGAGTTTGATTGGTTTCTCTATTTCCATGATGATTTATATGTTTACCAGCATGCCTTTTTAAAGTACTAGTACTATTACCTGTATTAGCTTTATAAATATTTCCACAATAATTGCATCTTGCTTTCTTCACTTGAACTCTATTTTCTGTCTTGTAAAACTTTTTGAAATGCACCCAAACGTCTTATGTGTGCTTGTCGTCAGTTCTGGTAGCTGCAGTTGATGAACCTGCTTCTACTTCAGATGGAGTTGGACGAGGACGATGATTACTAGAACAACCTCTAGAACCACCGGGAGCTGTAGCAGCATGAGGAGGAAGGGGGGAATATTATGAGGTGTATCAGATTCTGAGAATGGGAAAGTGAGATTGTTTGAATCTACTGCGTTTATGTTAGTAAATTCAAGGGGACTAGGATAATTTTCTTCATCATCGAAATTGATGGTGGGATGGAAATATCTATTCATTCTAGTTTAAAAAAAAAAATGGATATAAAAGATCTAAAGAATTAAAGAATGAGAATTGGAATTTGGGAATATGAATTGAAAATTGCAAAAACTAATAAAAATTACAATGAGAGCAAATTGACAACAAAAGATATTTGAGAGATTTTTATAGAGAAAATGAGAGAATTTGGGATGTGAGGAAATATGAGAAGTTTAGGTCCTATTTATAGAGAAAAATGGGAAAAAAATGACCAAAATGACCCCTCAAATTGATATAAAATAGCTATATTTAAACAGTAAAAGGAGTTTTTGCAAAAAAAAAAAAAAAAAAAAAAAATTAATTTTTTTCGCCAACCTGCCGGGTTGGATGGGTTTAAAAAAAAATGACATGTCGAGCACTGTTTTAAAAACCGGACTGGCCGGTCCAACTGGTTGGACCGTGAACCGGTCACGTGTCCGGTTCAAGTCACCCTCAAACCCGTTAATATGCATTGAGCCATTTTAAACCGGTTGAAAACCAGATAATATGAGTGAACCGTCGGTCCAACCGGACTGGCAAAAAAACCGGTCCACAATTTAAATCCCTAATACGCGACAATCGTCTTCTCTTTCACGCAGCCCATTCTTCTCTTCTTCTTTGTCACGCAGCGTCGCAGCCTTTCTTCTCTTCTTCTCTGTCATGCAGCGTCGTAGCCCTTTCTCATCTTCTTCTCTTTCAGTCTTTCTCACGAAAATTTCTCATCAAACACTCTGATCTCTGCGAAAATTCTCACGGTTTCGGCTCTGTCTTCTGTTCTCTCTGAAATCCCACCCAAATCGCATCTGAACTCGTCGGAAATCGACGACGACGTCTTCCTCCCTTGTCGAAAATCGACAACGTCTTCCTCCCTCGCTGGAAATCGACGGTGACAGCTCCATTCGTCGATCCAGGTAACGCCATTCCTCGCTCCCTTTACATTTAAGTTAACACCCTTTTCATTTTTCAATCTATAGAACTGTGGTGGTTGTATTAACATGATCTTGAGGATGGTTCTGCTTTGATTCAAGTATATTTGCACAAAAAAAGTGCAGGGAATTTAATTAGTGCATTGCACCAAACAGAGCCTAATCAATAATGTCACTTTCCATGATGTTACTTGCCTCCAAAGATCATTCTATCTATTGGATCATTTAACATAAAGTGTTTTTTGGCAATTTTTTTCTTTCATTAAGATTAATTTTAAATTGTCAAAAGCGTCTTAGCTCATGTGTTACGTTTCTAAATTTGATTCCTATCGTATCATATGATCTATTTGAATTTTAAAATAAACTCTCAGTTTCTTCACACAAACTCCATATCTGCCGGCATTTGAAGCTCTCTCTTACTCTTTCTTAGCATGAAGCGATCACTATTTGAAAGTAACAGCAAACTGGATGGAATTAATGACAACGTTAATTGAAGTCTCAACTCCATTGTTTCAAGGACTATATATGTGATATGTTCCCCACAAATAATTAGAACCAGATATTATAAGTGTTGGGATCTTTTAATTTCTGTAGAACTAGATATTGATGTTAAAAATCAGTCCTTGATTGATTCCACTACAGAAAGTTCAATGCTCTACCATTGATTGGATGTAGAGTTTGCAATATTTTTTTGAAAATGCTAATACATGACCAAGAGTTTAAACAAAGATGAAAATTGCTTTTGGTAAGAGACTGTAGATGATTAAGTAATTGGATTAGCTAGTATAGATAATCAGGTCATAAAAAGCTTCCCTTAGCCGATAGTTGTTATGATAGTTTTTTTTGCATTCTGAGGCTTGCTCCTGTTAGCATAAGCTCATGAAAGACTATCAAAAAGTAACTTGAAGGAAGAAGCATTAGGAGCCTAACTTCTGACTAGACCTTGCCTGTGAATCTGCATTAGTGTCTTTTCAATCAGCAGGTTTTGGTGGGGCACTGGAGATGAATTTGCGTAGATGGTGGTGATGGTTATGATGATGATGATGGTGATGAATTTTGATGCTAGTGTGTGAAGCTCAATCAATATAGAGACAAATCAAAGAAAAAACACTTGCATCAAATGTTTTGTTATTAATTAGTATGTATTTTGACATTTAATATGTAAATACAACATCATATTTGGATTTGGACTTTAAATTGTTGTTAAATACTTAAATTATGTTAGGATTGTTGTTGAATTTGAACTTTGAATCATATTGGATAGTAATTAAGTTGTTATTGTCTTATTAAAAAATAGAAATCTAAAAAAAAAAAAAAAGTTTTTTTTAAAAATGTGCTGACGTCATCATGATGTGTGATGACATCACCGGTCCAATCGGTTGGACCGATTGAACCGTGACTTGGCCATCAGAGCGGGTTGCCTGTCGGTCTGGTTTTTAAAACAATGATGTCGAGTCGTCTGGTTAGCCTATGAAAGCCCAATCCGTCCAATGGAGGATACCCGAGCCGGATTAAGATTGACCCACCTAACTAAGCCCATTTTTCCCACCTCTAGGCAAAAATAAAAAATAAAAAATAAAAATAAAGATTTCAATGACGATGACGATGTTGATTGAGTCAACAATGGTGGCCAATCGGAGATGGTGGTGGTTACAGTGGTGTGGCATAATAATAATTTAATTTTTTATTTTAATAATTAATAAATTATAAAATAATTAGAATTAATAAATTATTTTAAGAGCAATAGTGGAAAAATAAATTAAAACAGGGGCAGGAAAGAATTTTAGCCTTTCCCCTGCCCTTTAAATACCCATTCTTTCCAAATTTGGGACGGAATTCCCCCTCCTCCCTTATCCCAACAACCCCACCCCCCACAATATTTGGGGAATGAGCATTGCCTTGAAATGCTTGTTCCCCAAAACTCCGCTAAACTAAACGGTGGAACGAGACACTCCCATTCCACCAAGGTAAACATGCCAAATGAGTTTTGGACGGCCGAATGAATAACGATTTCGAAATAGTTGAATTGACAATAAAATAATTATCTCTAAACTTCCTCTCAAATTAATTGGATTGAATTTATCAATAACCAATAATTTTCTTTATAGTTTTCATTAAAAAAATTATATATTATTTAAACCAAATAAAAAATCTGGTCATCAATGGCTTAGTAAAATGCTTCGTATTCTTATCTATACTGATTACTGAACAGCATTTTAGATGAGAAAATTAACAAAGTTCGATAATTTCCATTCTTCTGATCTATCACTTCACCATGAAGACAGTCCTCATACAAAATTTAAAGAAATTTTTATAACAAAACCTAGGGATAGGAAAAATACATGTCCTTCAAATTGTTTCACTTGCTCNAATGATTTCGAAATAGTTGAATTGACAATAAAATAATTATCTCTAAACTTCCTCTCAAATTAATTGGATTGAATTTATCAATAACCAATAATTTTCTTCATAGTTTTTATTAAAAAAATTATATATTATTTAAACCAAATAAAAAATCTGGTCATCAATGGTTTAGTAAAATGCTTCGTATTCTTATCTATACTGATTACTGAACAGCATTTTAGATGAGAAAATTAACAAAGTTTGATAATTTCCATTCTTCTGATCTATCACTTCACCATGAAGATAGTCCTCATACAAAATTTAAAGAAATTTTTATAACAAAACCTAGGGATAGGAAAAATACATGTCCTTCAAATTGTTTCACTTGCTCAGGTTTCTCCATTAATCTTTTCAACATAGATAAAAGGAAAAAGAAAGAAATTTGTCCTAAGTTTGTCTAGGATGTTTTCATTAAGGAAAATAATAGAGTTACCGAAAAGTTTACACCGAATTTGTGCACCGAATGACGTGACAAAATCCTTACCGTTGATTAATATTAACTGATAATAAATAAACGGTCAAGATTTTGTCACGTCATTTGGTACACAAATTCGGTGCGCACCCATCAGTAACTGTAACATTACTCTTTCATTAATAGATTAACAAGAAGTAATCTCTACAAATAACGATTTTATTGTCCAGAAACGATAAAATACAATTTCTAAAATACTTTTCAGATTTAAAACTTTTAAAAAAATCTCAGCAAAACAAGTTTTTTTAAATCACGAATAAGTCCTATTAATTTGTAACCAAATGAAATAAACAAAATAAAAAGTGCTTAAAATTAGACTAAAATGCAGCACTAAGATACTAGAAGATTACCAACCCAGACACAATCTGCCATGAAATTTTCAGCTACACACTATATAAACTATCCATATGTGATAATTATTGATACAAAATACATCGCTTGGCCTTTCGGCACTGATACAATCACAAAAATTACCTCCTATTAGTTCACTTCTTTCTCTCACTTTAGATGTTCCTCTCCTTTTAACTTAGTCATAATCACAAAAATGTTCATCCCTTTCTTTAACTTTGTCCAAGTTCACGCCATCGCGTATCTCTGGACCTGCATCAACACTCATTCTCAAGTCGATGATTTGAAACTTCATCCTCAAAATCAAAAGTTCTTTTTGCAGTAAAATCCTTAACAACCTGAAAATCCACAGCACTATGAAGATTTGAACGGATTAAGCTCATCATAATTCAACTTTTTTTTTTTTTTATAAGAAACTATAAGATTGTATTAAAAATCAAAATGCAAGGAAAATTGTCTTCGGACCAATTGTCCACAAAGAAACCCAAAAGCAAGGGAAACAAATTATAATTTAAGGAATAATCATCCCTCCCTGGATGAATACTAAAAACTATACAAGATCAACACAACGTCACAACCCCTTTCCAATTCAGATGAATCTTGAAACGTCCAAGGCAACTACAACCCAGAGGCAAGCAAGAAAGCAAATTCTATCCTATTAATTACTACTGTTTTCTTCTTTTTAGTTACCAGCAAAATTGTTTATTTCTTTCAAGCCAAAACATCTAAAAGAATAGCTGAAAGAGCACATCTCCTAAGAGTTTTGACTCTCTTTCCTCTTCCAAATTCATAAAGAGAGCATTACAAGAACCAAAAATAGCCCACATTCAATATAGGCTCTTGCTCATAAATTATAGGCCACAACACAGGTAAAATATTATGAGAGAGGCTTATGTATTCGAAATTCTTTGAATACATAAATTATGGGAAACTTTCTTTGAATAACTTCTCTTGTATTGATTTTTCCCAGAGCCAAGCCCAAACAAATCATTGAACCTTGGGAGTGTATTTCACCTTTCAAATCATATTGAAAGAACTTAACATTAGAGGCACGAGCAGAAGATTACCTATCCAATATAGGGTAAAAAAAAAAAGTAATTCAAGCTCAATTCCCAGCAGTAGGTCTTCGTTGCACAACCAAATCATCAGCCGAATAATAATCAGCAATAAGTCGATACATGTATGAAGGATTATGCCCTCCTCTGTGAAGTAAAGACAGATTAGTGACAGTTTATAGCAAATTAAGTATAGAAGAAAATATAATTGAGAAATATCAATAGTTACAAGTAGATTATAAACATGAAGCATCCACAACAGACATGGTATTCTTTATGAGGAAACAAGTTCACATGAGCTATCAAAATCAGTATTTACTAGTTTAAATGTATAAATATGGCAGTTTAAATTATAAAAAAAAAAAAAAAAAAAAAATTGCAGATTACATAAAAAAACATCAAATATACATCATACAGAAAAATCACATAAAAATTCTGGATTTCTCAAGTCCCATGCAGTTCTAGAAAACAGTCGGAACTTACGTGTCAGTAATAAAAAGACTAACAAGCTTTGGTGGCACATAATCAAATGTTGGATTGACAACATGAAGAAGAGGGGACCCCGTGCCACTTCCGAAATCCAAGCAATCTGAGAATTCTCCAAAATCCAGCAGTTCAGAAGGAGATCTCAACTCATTAAGCAATACTTCAGGATTGTGAGGATACAGGGGGCACAACTGTCACATAGTCCAAAAAGCACTAATCAGAAGGCCAGAACAAAACACAATTTAAAGTATAAGGTTTCAGAAAGTATCCAATAAGAGAGTTGGTACACATAGTTAAATGAAGATTAAGCAATAAAAACATTATTTCCATACAGGTATGTTGATATATTTGTACATTATTCACAGATACATACATAAAACCAGGCATGCTTGCAATACAGACCATTGTCTCTAAATATGTTTATGAATCAATGAATGTATTTGTATGCATACATGCAAAAGCAGTGCATTACATTCAAACCAGAGATGGTAAATTTCCATTCCCTGTAAAATAAGCATGCCCTAAGACAAACATAACTAAAGTTACTTAATTCTAAGAAAAACCTAATTATAAAAAATAAAAATTCTAAGATAAAGTTAGTCAAGATAAACTTTACTCATAACACGTTCTTTCCTAAATAAATTTCATTATTTCAACATCAGTCATGTCCATATACCAATCTCAAAATCACATGTCCATATACTTGGTAAAGATTTCCAACAGATGAAGAACTTAGCACTACACAAAAAGCATGAACTGTCAAAATAAAATTTATATGTATATCCACATTTTTCTTTATGAAATTTTTGCACCACATAAACAATTAATGAGCATCTTCATTCCAATCTAGTATACAAACAAACAAGAAAATTCAGCAATGGCAACCAAACAAAATTGCTTTGCATTATTTTACTATAATTTCCAGTGCAATTTTGTTATCATGCCAAATTACCTTGTGACTGCCAGCAAGAACCACAAAAGGTACAGCATGCTTCTNAAATATAATTGAGAAATATCAATAGTTACAAGTAGATTATAAACATGAAGCATCCACAACAGACATGGTATTCTTTATGAGGAAACAAGTTCACATGAGCTATCAAAATCAGTATTTACTAGTTTAAATGTATAAATATGGCAGTTTAAATTTTTTTTTTAAAAAAAAAATTGCAGATTACATAAAAAAACATCAAATATACATCATACAGAAAAATCACATAAAAATTCTGGATTTCTCAAGTCCCATGCAGTTCTAGAAAACAGTCGGAACTTACGTGTCAGTAATAAAAAGACTAACAAGCTTTGGTGGCACATAATCAAATGTTGGATTGACAACATGAAGAAGAGGGGACCCCGTGCCACTTCCGAAATCCAAGCAATCTGAGAATTCTCCAAAATCCAGCAGTTCAGAAGGAGATCTCAACTCATTAAGCAATACTTCAGGATTGTGAGGATACAGGGGGCACAACTGTCACATAGTCCAAAAAGCACTAATCAGAAGGCCAGAACAAAACACAATTTAAAGTATAAGGTTTCAAAAAGTATACAATAAGAGAGTTGGTACACATAGTTAAATGAAGATTAAGCAATAAAAACATTATTTCCATACAGGTATGTTGATATATTTGTACATTATTCACAGATACATACATAAAACCAGGCATGCTTGCAATACAGACCATTGTCTCTAAATATGTTTATGAATCAATGAATGTATTTGTATGCATACATGCAAAAGCAGTGCATTACATTCAAACCAGGGATGGTAAATTTCCATTCCCTGTAAAATAAGCATGCCCTAAGACAAACATAACTAAAGTTACTTAATTCTAAGAAAAACCTAATTATAAAAAATAAAAATTCTAAGATAAAGTTAGTCAAGATAAACTTTACTCATAACACGTTCTTTCCTAAATAAGTTTCATTATTTCAACATCAGTCATGTCCATATACCAATCTCAAAATCACATGTCCATATACTTGGTAAAGATTTCCAACAGATGAAGAACTTAGCACTACACAAAAAGCATGAACTGTCAAAATAAAATTTATATGTATATCCACATTTTTCTTTATGAAATTTTTGCACCACATAAACAATTAAGGAGCATCTTCATTCCAATCTAGTATACAAACAAACAAGAAAATTCAGCAATGGCAACCAAACAAAATTGCTTTGCATTATTTTACTATAATTTCCAGTGCAATTTTGTTATCATGCCAAATTACCTTGTGACTGCCAGCAAGAACCACAAAAGGTACAGCATGCTTCTGTGCGGCCAGTGCTACCATATTCAACCCAACAGGTGCTATAACCCCACCATTGGCCATAACAGCATGTGCTCCAACTATAACCTTTACATTGAAATTTCAAGATGAAGATGAAAATAGTCTCGACTATCGCCAAATAAGAAAATAGTTCAAACATACCATGTTCACTCGAGAAATCATGGCAAAAACTGCGGAATCAGTAATCAGCGTGGTCTGTAAACCTCTTGAAACCAAATCTTTTGCAAGAAGATGCCCTTGATACCTAATTGATTACCAAGTAGAAAACAAAAAAATTAGTCCAGGCAAATAGAGTTCCTTTGCCTGGCAAGAGACAAAGAGCCCTTTTACAGACCTTGGAGCACCCTCTGCAACAAAAACTCGAAATGATCTTTTCTTCTCCTTTGCAGCACAAAGAAACTCCAACACTGTCCTTGAACTGCCTAAAGTTAATATTACCTCACTGAAAATACATTTAATAGCAAAAATTAATATAAAGGTAAATTGTAGGAAGAGATCTAGATGGAAATAAATAGAGATTAAATTCATATGGCTGAATAAGGGCCTTTTTCTGCAAAGATAAAGCATAATGAGAATAAATTAGCTGAAACAAGATAAAACATAAAAACCATGCATCAAACACATTCAGTAGAGATAACTGAACCAAAACTTTAGTATGTTAGTCATTTATATATCCTTACTACCAGCAATTTGACCCTGAATCTGCAGATTATGCAACATTTGCAGCACTAAAAGTTGGCTGTACAAATTACTGCCTCTAACCACTCAAAAACCACCCAAAACAAAAAATAACTTAATTTTAAGTGATATTGTTGAGTCTTTCCATTAGATAAGATTATAATCTATTAGAAAGAGCCTTGAGTCCATTAGCATATGATTAGTGGGAAGCAGAAGTTCAAGTAGTTTGGAAATTCATAAATCAAGGTATAATGATTATCATTCTATTCTAATCTCAAGTTGGTTGATAAAAATGGTGGCAAGATTCTATTTTAGAAGGATAATTAGATTGGTTCAGCTACTTTGGCATCCATGTTTTCAAAGTTAATTAGATTATCCTTTTCTCATGATATGACAACTCCAAGAACTTCAATGAATAACACTTCAGTTAGCGGGTGGAATTTTAATTTTCCAGAAATCAGAATGAAAGAGAAGCTGCAGACCTTGCTCCTTTGGTGTTGACTGATATTATTTCAACTTTCCCAACACAAGGATAGGCGATTATGGGAAAAGATACTGTTCTGGTTTTTTTTCCTTTTTCACAGTAACTCCTACTTTAATTGCGTAAATGACACCTTGATTATGTCTATTGAGCCAGCAAACAAAATTTTGAATGCAGGAGGACCAAGTAATTTGCAACTTCTAGATTGGACAGTTGCTCATGGTAAATTAATTACCTCTGATTTAATTATACAAAGAAGATCCAACGTTTGTTTGTCGCATAATTGGTTCGTCAATTGTACAAGTTTTTTGGGTTATTTGGATGGAAATGAAAGGACTTTTAATTATACAAAGACTTTGACCATTTGTTTCTCTTACAACTTTTTTGGGTTATTTGGATGGCAAAGAAAGGATTTTTAATGAAGCTGACAAGGAAGATGATAATTTGTAATGGACTAAGAAATACATTAGTCCAAGCACAAAAAAAGTAGCTCAAACATTAGACTTTGCTCTCAACAGTGGACTTGAAAAATATGTCCTATTAGTTTCAAAGCTCCTAAACTTTTTTTTTACAAGATCCTGTAAACATGCCAAAAGAGCGAGTAGTTGCCATCAAATTTTGTTGTTGAATGACTATTCAAGGATAAATATTTATCCAATACAAGACACAATACTGGACCATTCTCTCAAGCCTACATATTTGAAGTCACTTATAAATTATTCAGTCAGTGACATCTTTTTAGACAATGATAGAAAGAAGAATAAGAAGTATGATTATTTCTGAGTTTCAAGGAAGATTGATGATGAAGATTATGTGTTTGTTCCATTGGATAAAGTATTACCTATCAAATAGCTCCACTCAAGGAAGAGTTTTTCAGAGTGTAGAGAACTGAAGTAGGACAGTTTTTTAGCATAAGCTTAATTTCTTAATTAATTTACCTTTTATCATTAGGATTTAATTTAGTTTTCCTAATTGGTTATTCTTATGTTGGTTTGATTACAATTTAAGTAGGCATCCTTTTCCTATTATATTTTGTATTCCTTATGTTTTAGGCCTTAGAATTTAGTGTTGTAAATAAGGATTCTTTTTTGTCTTTCTTTTCTATCTTTGTGTTACTACTTCTTCAGTTCTCTTGTAATTCTCATACATCAATTGGAAATTATGCCTGAACAACCAATTATTCCTAAAATACATTCCACACAAGGAAAAGAAAAAAAAGGATAGAGACAAAGCACATTCAATCATCAAAGTTCAAGAGGAGAAAATTACTTCTGATGGATATGCTCCACTGCTTGCTCAGCTATCTGCTCATGGCAAGTGGCAATATCTTGAATTAGTTCATTAACCGCTTCAATAACATCATGCTTCAATTTCCTAGTTTTTGAATTTTTATCAGCAGCTGTCACAGAAATAAAACCTCCGCTATCAACTATTACGACAATATTAGATTTAATAATTAAACAATGCCATAACAAGCAACCAACAGCAATTAATCACTACAAGCTGCAACACAAAGATTAGACCATTTGTCTGGAAAACCAATGTCAACCAACAATTAGCCACACTTATCTCTATTATAAAGCATATAATTAAAAGAGTAAAAAGGAAAAAAGCCCTAGACTGAACTGAAACCTACAAGCAATAACTATAGAATTACTGAAAAATCTACCAAACTAAGAGATGCTTACATTTGCTTTTCCCTTCAGAATCACCCCCAGATGAAGAAGTATGAGGAATAGCAGCTGAGGCGGGTGAATCCTCAAGGAGGGTCTGCAAGGAAGGTGGACGCAAAGTACTTCTAGCAGCAGCAGCCACAGCAGCAGCAGATAAAACCGGGTGATCATCTCGATTATCATCAGTTTCATCATCACTTACAGCTGATAAGTTTAACCCATCAATAGCAGCTGTAGTCAGAGACAGATCCTCCTCCCTAATAATGTGTAATACACGTCTCACAATATTACCCACAGCAAGCTCTGCAATAGTATTCAAATAATATTGTCACAGAAGAAAAGAAAACATAAGGAATATAGGAAAGAAGACAGATATCATTTTTGTAAAAAGCAAGTAGTAAACATAGCGATATTTAAAAATTTGTATACCTGAAAAAGGGATGAAATGAATCCACCATAAATAAGCCATCAAAATAATGCCATTGTAATATGTCCAATTACATTTTGCCCGTTTGGAATTGTAAATATTTTCCTTTTACACAAGCCATGAGAATATACTTCTGAAATTATGGTTTTCATTGTCTACACTTATGCTATTGCTTAATTTGCTCTTCAATGCCCTATAGTTTTAAGGCATTTACATAACACATGCCCTGATCAAAAGCAATTCTGAGTATAACACTAATTATTTTACAGTGCATTGATATCACATATGCATATTCAAGGGCTAAAGCATTTTTTTAATACCGAAAATCCCTCAACCTTCTCCACATGTTCACCGAGTTTTAAACCATGGTTACTTCCACTTTATAACCTTGTAAACAAGGAAACTTGTGGTTCCCAAGTAGGTAGCCAGCAGGGATTTTAACCCTTTACATCGTATTTGAAATCAAGGGCTTTTCACCACTAATCCCAACCCTTTTGACCAGGCTGAAGCACATTCACAGCTAGAATAATACGTCTTTGATGGCAGATAAGCTATATTCCTAAAATTACTAATTTTCGCTTGCATTAAGAACCTGAAATTGATCACACAACAGCATAATCTAGATGTTACACAACTCTCAGTTTGTGGACATAGGAATAGTCCTCTGACTCTTTTCAAGAAATGGCAACCTAAAGCTTTGACAGAATCTCCCTCAAACCAACATGATCTTTTCTATTTTGACAAAAAGATGATTAATTAAAACTAATCCCAATATTCGAGCAAGTAAAATAACAGAGAAGCATAACGGCAAACACTTGCTAAGAAATCAAAGCTCCAGAGCACTATTCCAACATTTTTTTTTTTTTTTTTTGGTTATTCTTAATTCTATTTTTTGCCATAAAGACAACCACTAGAGATGTGCTTGGGAGGTTTATTCATAATAGTAGGCTTTTACTTAATTCTTAAAGTGCTTTTATATATAATGGGACGATTCTAAAATATAGAGGACGCTGTAAACAAAAATGTAGACCATTGGATGAGGATATCTTATTCTTATACAAAAATACTCCTCCAAATTTAGTCACTATTTGGTATGTGGGATTTGGATTGGACTATATTTAGGACTATTTCATCTTTGGTGTGGTTGGGATCAAATTAAATAATAATATTAATGAGTTATGTTGACTCAAATGAGGGTATTTTCGCAATCTGATGAGAACTCAGATTGCGAAAATACATATATTATGATTTGATATGAACAAAAATTATATTGTTGTTACATAAAAAAATGATAGAAAAAAGCTTATTTAAAAAAAATTTGTCAAAGTCTTTTCAACAAAAAAAAAAAAAAAATCAGAAAAAAGACAAAGAAAAATGCTCAATATGAATTGATTAAAAAAAATCAAGCATGATATCGTCTGGTAAAGCTTGATTCAAGAAAGAGAAAAAAAAAATTACTTTTGATTACACAATCCCATGGTTGAGCATGGGAATTGTAATACCATGATATAGAATTAAATAGTCAACTCTTAGGGGTCTCACAAGTCAAGTGCCATTATAGTTTAACATTGTCAAACACTCAGATTAGGATAAGACAGAAAATTATCATCCAACGCCATGGCTTCCCCCACATAGCAAATAAGCCCTAAGAGCCCAAAAGGTCTTAGTGTAACACCCTTCAAGCATGTAAGAAGTTTCCTATTTGGGGGGAATATAGACAATATTCTACAAATAAACTCTTACACTCTATCTTTGCAAGACTAGTTGTTGAAGAAAGAAATACCTGTAGTTTCACACTAGAGGTGCGATATGCAGCAGTTTACTTCGTATAGAGCTTAAGACTTAGAGAGAAATATTAGTTTAACTTTATTCACTATTAAACCATAAACCTTTAACTAACATTGTCCATCACTCAAGAGACTCTTATAATCAAAATCAGTAAAACTTTCTTTCAAATTATCCAAACGCATGATACTAGCTCAAAAATGTTACGGGATCAAGAATGACAATTTCTACAAATCACATGTGGTAACCTACTAATATTACAATTAATATTCATCAACATTTGTATCCAATGAAAATTACACATTACAAATACAACAATTTTTTCACTAAAGCCTTAACATATCACAAAATTTACACCCTTGTAGTCAAATCCTAATCACTACATTTATATGTAACAAGTAAGTTTTAAAGAAGCAACAGAAACAACAGTTATGATATTAAATTACCAATTAGTTAATAATTCAACAAAGAAATTATCAAAAAAAATTACCAACAGGATTAGCAGCAATGAGCTGCTCGCCCACAGCCTTGACAGCATCAATCAACGCGCCAGCCTGGTTGGTGTACGACACGCGCTGCTGCGAAATCACAGACCGAAGCAGCTCCGCCGTCTGCCTCGCTGTCGCCTGCGACCCCTCAATCTTACTGCCACCACCACCACAAACAAAATTAGTTCATAAAAATACATACAAAAACTCTGTTAAAATAGAAACGAAAAGAAAAACTTCACCGTTTCTTAAGCTTGTTAAGAAAGTCATTGACGAGGGCCTGCGTGTCCGGCATGATTTCTTATTCTTGTTATTGGTATTACCTAAATCGGTAACCAAATAGAGAAGAAAGACAAAAGAAAAATTATAACACATCTACTGAGAAAATAGAGATACTAAATAAAAATCAACAAAGTTCACCTGAAGTATAAGCTGGACACGGTTTGAGAGACAGCAGAGAGGGGTTTACTGTATTGTTCTTCGTTTTGCTTTGTTTGGAGGAAAGAATGTTATTTACGTTTGGGTCAAGGTCCGATTTAAAGAATCCCGGTTCCCAGATCCGGACCCAATCCATCCTTTAAAGTTTATATTTTTTTGTACCCTGAGAGATCGCTTTTATTGACGGCCCCAGGATTTTCAGAAAGTCTCGAATTCCCCCCACCGTCATAACACCGTTTGACCAAGTTAAACGTGAGTTGACTCAAATGAGGGCATTTTCGCAATCTGATGAGAACTCAGAGACCAGGCTGACTCAGTGAAGCGCATCTTGGTAACTTATACAGACAAGCTATTTAAAAAAAATGAGGAATGTAATTAAAAATATTAGAAGGCAGTTGAGTAATTTAACAAATATAATAAACAATGTTATGGCACCAGGAGGAAATTCGAGACTTTCTAAAAACCCTAGGGTTGTCTTAGATAAGCCGATCTCTTAGCGAAGTTTAACAGCTAAACCTAAGGCTCTGTTTGTTTCACCACTTTTCTACTATCCTACCTTAAAAACTCAAAAATGCATTTGTTTTCATATTCTCAAAATACAATCATATTCTATTTAACTCAAAATATTTAGATTATTTTAACCTCCTATGTTTGTTAATTTAATTAAATACCCTTAAAGATAAAAATTTATAAATTGACAAAAACACCCCCATCCATCCACATTTGTAAGATTCCGGCCACCACATCCGGAAGGTGACCAAAATCTACCGTAATGGCACACTACCTACTGGATCTGGCTAATAGTGCGCTGATCTGGCCTTTTTCGATCAGATCTACTGTGGATCTGGCTAGAAAAGACCAAATCTACAGTACAAAATCAGGGGCATTAGCGGCCAAATCTGGCCACATCTGACCATTGACGACAACCATATCTTGGTCGTCGTTTGGACATCAGCAACGGCCAAATCCACAGTGGATTTGCCCAAGAAAGGCCAGATCAGCACACTATCAACCAAAACCAACCGATAGTGTGCCATTACAGCAGATTTCGGCCACCTTCCGACGGTGGTGGCCAGAATCTGGCAAATTTGGGTGGATGGGGGGGGGTTTGTCAATTTATAAACTTTTATTATTGGGGGCGTTTAGTTAAATTAACAAACCTAGGGGGTTAAAATGATCTAAATATTTTTAGAAAATGCTATTAAAAAATGTACAAAAAAAATATCATAAAACTATTCAACTCAATTTTTCCAAAAGACTATTCTAAAAACTACCAAAATAATGAACCAAACGAACCCTTACCAATAAACAAAATATTTGTAATTAATTAATAAATGTGATTTATGTGTTATTTAGGGAGTTAAATGATATTAATCCCTAAGGTACGATAAAGTAATACAAACCACCCTAAGGTTTCAAAAATAATAGAAATCTCTCTATCTTTAAGTTTTAGGTGTTAAAACAAATGGTAAGAGTGTAATTTAGTAATATTTATTAATTCATAACAATGTAAATTTTAATGGTTTAACGATCTATTAATGGTAGAGGAGTTTTTGTTATTATATCATACCTCAAAGGGATCTATGTCTTAACTCATTATTAGGCTTGTTGTATTTCTAAAGAATAGAACTAATAGGGACTAAAGTGAAAATTGCATAATTATTAGAGCTTAAGAGTCTTTCTTTCATTTAAGGCACACACTAGAAAGACATGGGGGCTTGTTTATGGCCTTTTTTTTAAGGGAAGGTCAATACATAATCAAAGCCTAATCACGCAATTAAGGTACAAAGCTACAACTTAAATTTTGGAATTACACTTTGGGCCCAAATGACCACTTTGTGGATCCTAAATGAAGTCCATGACATTTTCCAAATATAAGCCCATGGCATCCACAAAATGATAAGTAGACTTGGCAAAACGGGCGGGTTGGTTCTAAACGAGCCCAAAGTGTTAGACCCATACCCTACCCTATGCGAGTACAGGTGGACCAGCAGGTATCCTTACTGTTCACTCTAATTTTCAATGTTTACAATTACACCCCTAAAATTTCTGCAGTTTTCATTTTTTACAGTTACACCCATACAATCAACTCCTCCAAATTCATTTAAACTATTGCAAATTTACCATTTAATATTAAAGCATTTTTAGATGCATTCTTATTCAATGAAAGGCAAATTGGTACAAACCTCAAAACACACAGTCTGGTGTAATTTACAAAGAGGTTGCCATGGAACAGATCTCAAAAACATAGTCTGATTCTTTGCATGAAATTGAATTCTTCAAGATCAACCAATGCACAATTATCAAGCAACTTGCAAGAGGTTTTTGATCAACTTTGTACAAGTTAGCTTGATTATTGAAAGTAATATACCGATACCAACTTCACTCCAAAGACTTTATTTTACTTCATACAAAACCAGGTAGAGAAGAGAAAGAGTTGTTTAAAGTGGAGAAGAAAGAAAGAGTTGGGATGTTGGCAGAGAATGAAGAAAGGAGAAGGAAGAGAAGGTTAAGAATGAGAGCGAAAGAGAAGATGAAGATTAGAAATGGTGATAAGATTGATGGTGGCATGAGAAGTGGCAACTACAGATGGAGAATAGAAATGGTTATAAGATTAGAAAAGGGTCGGGCCAGCTACGAGTTGAAAAAAAAAAGGCCCAAAATTATGGACTCATACCTTATATTATTTTGACAGGTACAAGTCCAAATTGCTAGGTCTAACTGTAATACCCACATTCAGAAATATGGTAGGCGTTATTTTATAATCATAGTGAATATATTTAACTAGTTTTATAGAGGAATTCCATAAAAGTTTTAATAGGGGCAAAATGGTCATTTCACATTGAATCATTTGTTCAATTTAAAAGTGAGTATGATAAATATAATGTATTAAGTGTGCTAGCCATGAGAATAGAGTGGTAGAAAGGTTATGGAAAATACATGTGATGTGATGCCGAGATAAATATGTATTTGTAAAGTAATAGGAAGAAATTAAAGAATAAAGGTAAAATGGTCTTTTCACTTATAAGTAGAGTTTATGATGGGAAGTGAAAATGACCAAAAACATGTATTAAATCCATTGAAAGTAAGGGTATATCGGTAAATGCACGTATGGCATAACTGAAATTATCATAAAAGTGCAAGGGCAAAATGGGAATATATAGATATTTATTTAATTATAAGACTTCAATTGACAAAACCCTAACCATTTGCACACCAAAAAGGCCATCCACCTTCCTTCCCCATTTCTCCTCCATTTCTTCAAAGTCACATGAGAATTCATGCCTATTTGAATATATGTTAATTTTATGACTTTCTAAGGTAAGAATTTTAGCAAAAGTTTGTGATTTATGTTTTATAAGTATGAGTTCTCATGAATTTATGTGTTTTAGCATGATCAATGGAGAAAGTGAGCAAAGGAAGCAAAGAAAAGGATTCTTGCAGGAAAAAAGTAAGTGAATCAAACTTAAGCTTTGTTTTGAGCCATAATTGTAATCGTTGATTATTGTATGGTTGTATATGATGTATGGTGAGAATTGTTGGCCGTTTAAATGCTTGAATGATGTGTAAAAGTTCAGCCATGAAGAGTATTCATTTGTATGTGATGATTTGGCGAACTATAAATGAAATATGGAAGAAGTATTGATGGAATGTTGGAATGATGATTTCAGCCAGATTAGGAGTTGAGTTTTTGGTGAGTTTTGTTCCAATTTTGAGGTATTTGGAGAGATGTGGAAGTGTGGCCAACCAAGTACTTATATGTGCATGTAAATTGTTTGATAAAATTTCAAAAAGAAATGCATGCATAAATTTGTTGAATATAGTTGAAGATATTGTTTGAGAAATGAAAGAATTGATGTTAAAAGGTTGTATTAGACTTGACCAAGTATAAGTAGTGTTTAAAAAGTGCATTTTGTTATGCCAAAATTTAGAATAACACTTGGTTATGTTAGTTTAATTAAATGAATGGTCTTTAGTGCATGGTTCAAGTTGCTTGAACTTTTGGCATTAGTTTGAATGGTATATTGTATTTAGTCATTGAATTATGAGTTTTGAAACCTATGACTTTAGAAAAGCGATGGCAAGAATTGCATATTAAATTGTTGCAATAGTGTAGTATTGATAATAGTAAATGATGGGTGATTATATTATAATATTACAATAAGCCACAATAAGTTGTCAAGCTTGTACGCTTAAAATTAGAAAGATCATCCAAATAATGGCTTGGCCAAATGAGTATATTGTTGTTTTTTGTTTTGAGATTAGTTACAAACAATATGTAATAAATGATTTTATTGTATAAAGAATAGAAAAGTTTTCCCAAGTATAGATATCAAAAGAAACATCAAAGAAATATAAGTTTTGTTTATGTATTAAATATATGACCATTTTAGAAATTGATTGGTATGAATATAGTTTTCATACCTTATTATATATTACAAGCTATGGAATTGTGCTAGAAGATCTTGAGAATATTTTGTATTGGCCGAAAGTTTAGTTAAGAAAGTTAGAAAGAAATTAGAATTTAACCAAAGTATATATGTTGTGCCATATGTTAGATTGTATTTACAATGATTAATATGGCAATATAGATTAATGTATAGAATGTAGCCAAAAGAAAAGAAGAAAGATGTGCGTGTATAACAATTGAAGTTGATGGTCATGTTAAGAGAATGCAAATTTATGGCATTAAATTTTGTATTTAGAATGTTGTACAAGGCATATTTATAACATTAGAAAAATATTAGAGAGTAGTTTAATGACATGGTTGTGTGTGTGTGTGTGTGTGTATATATATATATGAGAAAATCTAGTAGCATAATTGGGTAAGTTAGTAGACTTAATATCTAAGTTGTGGCATAGATTTTTATAGAAGAAATTAGATTGCTCAAAATGTAAAATTCATTCCCTAGTTGAATTGTGCCGTTTTAATATCTCACTAATGGAATTATAGAAGAGTAGAATTTGTAAAAGATAATGTAATTGTGTAAGTGTACATTTTACATAGCATGATAGAATTGAAGAATTACAAAATTATGTAGAAATTATAGAATCGCGTACGTACACACGATGCATAAAATTCAAAAATAAATAATAAAATAGAA